TTTTTCGTCTTTGTGTGTGTGTGTGTGTGTGTGTGTGTGTGTGTGTGGTTTGTAAGATGAAAAAATCTTCAGCGTTTTCAAGTCTTAATGGAAAAAAAACTTCCTCTCGTTGCTCCGATACTAATAGTTTAGGTGCAATAAAATAGTCATTGCTAAATTAATAAAATTGTTTATTATTATTTTTTAATTATCACGCACACTTACATACAGAATCGCATATACGTCCATACACACATACACACATTCACGCACATATGTACCTGTCTCTCTCTCTCTCTTTCTCTCTTTCTCTCTTTTTTTACTCATATTCAAGCCACACACACATACACACAAATACACATACACACGCATACACATACACACACACACGCATCCAATGAACACACCCTCCTCATCGCCAAAATTACATATTTTCAGATACAGGCATTGTAATAACGTAAAGATATTGTAGCATTAGATGGGCGAATTGTACTACAATAACATTAGACGGCACACACACATACACACACGCACACTCACACACACATACACACACACATCACACACACACAACACACACACACACAGGTATACACACATCCAATTGAATTTCCAACACCAATCACACACACATTACCAAATGCACACACACACACAAATTGACCGGCTATTCAATCGAATGTAATAAAGCTAATTTCATAAAAATTATTAGCGCTAGATAAATGCTAACTTCATTTCGCACACCCATTTCCGGTTGGGTTTATTTTTTCTCTCTGACCGTAATGAAATAGCGTCTTTTTTCAAGATACTTGTTTAAAAAGTGCTATATAAATGGCATAACAACAACAACAAAACAACAACAACATCAACACAACAACAACAATAATAATAAAACCAAGAAAATAAAAAAACAACAATAAAACTATGTGTAACATAATAATTCTTTCACTATTGAAATTTTCGCTATAATAAATTAGTTTTTTTTTGCAAAAATGTAAACAAAGACTATAAAAGCATTTAAAATAAATTGCTATAGACATTTATTTATATATAAACCCACACAAACACGCGCGCACACACATTAACACATACACACGCACATATACAGTTTCAATTTGATACAACAGATTATTATTTATAAGCACTGGTAACAAAGAGGAATTTTATTCTCAATATTTCCAAACACGTTAACACATCAACAGTTTATTTTGGGGTTTCAACAAACACTCCCACACACACACACAAACCCACGCACACACACACAAACCCACACACACACGTAAATACACACGCACACATAAACAGACACACACGCACACATCTGTTTAAACCGCGCGTAGGTGTTTATCTAACCGTGAGTAATAATTTAAAAAATTTTTTTTTTGGCATTTAAAATTTTGATAACAATTCTCAGTAAATGCATTAGAAACATGTGCAAAAGCTATTCATTTTGGCGTAAAAAGACTAAATTACTTAGAAAATATTTTTGTATGTATGTGTGTGTGTGTGTGTGTGTGAGTGTGTAGTTGTGTGCGTGTATATGTAGGTGTGTATGCGTACGCGAAAATGTATACAATAAAATATAAAACATTAAAGCGTACACTCATACACACATACACAACAGTTATACAGACAAGCTATAAGCAAACATTTTTATCAACATGCTGCACCCAAAACCAAACATACAAACAAACAAACAAACGAACGTACGAACGTACACACAAACATACACACATACATACAAACAAACATACAAAAAAACACCAAAGGGTAGTTTTATCTGCGTATAGAGTGTAGGTCGAAGTTGTGAGGAAACACTTCTGAAAGAAATTTACCGACGCCACCCAGCCGAACACATCAACAACAAACCAAGAAAAAGCTTTCACAAGTTCCAGTAGAGAGTAATTAAGTTTGTCTGGCTATCATTATCCCAACCGCCATCTTCTTCTTCGTCGTCGTCATCATTGTTGACGTAATCGCTATCATCATCATCATCGTCGTTATCACCATCATTATCATGATCGTCATCGTCACCAAAAATTATAAAAATACAAATAATAATAATAATGATAAATCTAGGAATTAGATTCCAGTCACCACTAACCAGCATGCACTAGGATCGTTTTTGTTAGGGGATGGATTATTTTTCAAAATAAGACAAGTCTCTCCTATGTTTAATCATTCATCTTGTCGTAATCACACGCGAAGCGTAATAAATAAATGGTTGGATAACTGAATGAATGAATGAGTGAATGAGTGAGTGAATGAGTGAATGAATGAGTGAGTTAGTGTGTGAGTGAGTGAGTGAGTGAGTGAGTGAGTGAGTGAGTGAGTGAGTGAGTGAGTGAGTGAGTGAGAGAATTAAAAAACATCAAAGAAAATCATACCGCAGCGACAGGTCGGAAAATTTTTTTCCTTACGTAGAAGACTTTAATCTTTCATAATATGCGAAGCGTGCAAAAATAATGGTAGGTGTAAAATTTTTCCAGAAAGAGAGAGAGGGAGAGAAAGAGAGAAAGAGAGAGAAAGAACATGAAGTTAGAAGAAAAAGAAAATGAAAGAACACGAAGAGATAGAAAGAAAGGAAAAAAGAAAAGAGAGAGATAGAGCGAGAGAGAGAGAAAAAATAAATACCACACGTCTTTGGCAATGAATCACTAACCTAGGGTTCAACAACTTTAAGGTATCCAAAAAAATATGTTATAAAAAGCGAAAAACTATCTTTAAGATAGAAATTGTAGCTTGTTTCATGTAAAAATTTGTATGAACTAACAAGTTTTTCATGTGTTTGTTAATTTATGAATCCATTCATTTTAGAAATCATTTATTTAATTATCCATTTAACCATCCATCTATTCATCCATTCATCTACTTATAGCTCAATACATTATTCCCCAAATTTATTCATTCTTTCATTCATCTGCTTATTATTTCGTCGAATCAATTCATCATCTAACCATCCATTCATCAATTCAGTCAGTCAGTCAGTCAGTCAGTCAGTCAGTCAGTCAGTCAGTCAGTCAGTCAGTCAGTCAGTCAGTCAGTCAGTCAGTCAGTCAGTCAGTCAGTCAGTCAGTCAGTCAGTCAGTCAGTCAGTCAGTCAGTCAGTCAGTCAGTCAGTCAGTCAGTCAGTCAGTCAGTCAGTCAGTCAGTCAGTCAGTCAGTCAGTCAGTCAGTCAGTCAGTCAGTCAGTCAGTCAGTCAGTCAGTCAGTCAGTTAGTCAGTCAGTCAGTCAGTCAGCCAGCCAGCCAGCCAGCCAATCAGTCAGTCAGCCAGTCAGTCAGCCAGCCAGCCATAATTAATCAATCAACCAATCAAAAAGCAGCCCAACCTCAGCCTCGGCCGAGAACCCTTCAACGAGGATGGCCACCAGAAGGTTAAAGAGAACGTAGTTGCCAAAGGTCATGAGGGCAATGAAGTAGAGTGAAGCCCAGGGTGAAGTTTTGGACATGCCAGTGTATAAAACCTCGTGCCAGTCTTCTTGCGTTAGAATCTGAAGAAAGGGAAAATTAATTTGAATACAATAATACAATTTGAAGCAGTTGTTTACTCGTTCATACATTCGTTTGTTAATTAGTTCTTTCGTTTATTTATTCAATCATTCATTAATTTATTCTTTTTTTCATTTATTCATTTATTCATTCATTCAGTCATTCATTCAATTATTCATTCATTCATACATTCACTCATTTATTTGTTCACCTTAAATAATTTACAATACGTACTTGAAAAACCGTTATAATGGCCCATAGAAATGAGTCGAAGTTCTTTCTCTTACATCCCTTGTGAATTTTCGCCTGGTCCCTGGTGTCGCAGAATTTGCAACCAAACAAATTCATTCCTAGAACGCTGAAAATGTGGAAATGGATCGATTGATTGATTAGTTGATCGGTTAGATGGTTGATTGGCTGGTTAGTTGGTTGATTAGCTGGTTGATAGATTGATTGGATGGTTAGTTGTGATATAGGTTGTTAAGTTGGTTGATAGGTTGATTGATTGATTGGTTGACTGGCTGATTGAATGGTCGATTGATTGATTGACCAACCAATCTATTGATGGTTGGTTAATTGAATAGGTTGGCTGGCTTGTTGACTGGTTGATAATTGATTAATTAATTGAGTGGTTGGTTAATTTGTTAATTGATTGATCAATTGTTGTTTAATTGATTGGTTAACGGGTCAACGCATCATCACCATCACCTCGAAACGTAAAATATTTAAACCCTAATTAAATCGCAATACCCAAGATGCAAAACGACCGCTCTTGAAAATTCAGTGATTTAAATACATTTGGGAAAATCCCAGAAAATCTATTTTTACGTCTACTCTTTCTGTTCTCTCTCTCTTTTTTTTTCTTTCCCTTTCTCTTTCTTTTTTTCCTTCTCTCTCTCTCGTTCTCTTCAATTCGTTTCCTATCATTCACTCTTTCTTATTTTTTCATTCTCTCGTTCGTTCACTCTCTATACATTCGATATACTAACACATACATACATATACACACACATACATTTATACTGCAGGCACACACACACACACACACACACACACACACACACACACACACACACACATGCAAATAAAGATAGAGGGGTATAATCGAAATAATTTTTATGCATGAGTTTTTAATGAACAAGTGTTAGCCATATTTTTCTGAAATTTCGTAGTTTAACTTTTTTCATCATCATAACTATCAACACCACCATCATCGTCGTCGTCATCATCATCCTTCTTCTTTTTCTTCTTTTTCTTTTTCTTCTTCTTTTTCTTCTTCTTATTATTATTATTAATTTTCAACCCATCCTCTTATAAGTTTCTCAACACGTTTTACAAAAAGACCTCATTAGCCATTCACGTCTATTAATTTATTCATAACCAACCGGCCAATCAGAGACTTGCAAAATTATCATAACCACGCCTACTGCATGACTTAAATAACCTTAGCGAATATGAGAACGCTTTTAATAGCGATTCCATGTAATTAATCGCCTTATCAATATTCATAACTCTTTAATTATTCAGAACCCGTCAGCCGATCATAAACCGAGAAAGATTGGCATGACATAGTCTTTTTCATCTATAAATAGACAAAAAAAAATCTCACCAAACTTTGTGACGAAAACATTAATCAACAAACTGAAAAGAAAGTAATTCAAAAATAGTAACATCCAAAATTCTACATTATGATTGAAGGCAAAATAAAATAACCACACCTACTAGCATCAAAAAAACCTAATTAACATTACCACCATCGTACAATTAACATAGCCACGCCTACTAACCTAAAAATAAATATGAAGAGGACCAATAAGAGGAAGAACATGGCGACGTTATCCATTGTTCTTAGCATAACAACGAGTTGATATCTGAGCGCAGGTAGGAATCGAACCAGCTTCAGTATTCTTAAAAGTCTGAAAGTTCGTAGAACTGAGAGACCAGAAGCACCTCCTTGGATCAATTCAACCAAACTGTGGAGTGTGTTGCGTGTGCGTGTGTGTGATGTGTGGTGTGTTTGTGCGTGTGTTTGTGCGTGTGTGGTGTGTGTTTGGCATACATGTGGCACATGATGTGTGTGTATAAAATAATTTGTGCGTGTGTGCGTGTGTATGTGTGTGTGTGAACTAATTTGTGTATGTGTGTATATTTCTTCATTATTCACTCTTGAATATGTATTACTGATTTTTAGTAATCAACACTACTACTTCTACTACCACTACCACAACTACTATTACTACAACTACAACGGCTGCTGCTACTACTACTACAACAGCTGCTGCTACTACTACTACTGCTGCTACTACTACTACTGCTGCTGCTACTACTACTACTACTACTACAAGCATTCTCTTGATTGACACAGACAGTGATGATGTATAATTAATGTTCAGATGACGTTCTACCATGTTATTCGCTACGCTAACTACATGAAAAAATTCTACACATATATTTTCTTGGCGGCTATAATAACATCAATAATAATAAAACCAATAATAATAATAATAATAATAATAATAATAATAATAATAATAATAACAGTAGTTGTAATAGTAGCAACAGTAGTAGTAGTAGTAGAAGTGGAAGTAGTAAAAAGTATAATATTAATCCTTATATGAGACTACTGGGCCTATTACTGAAGCTACGATGGCTACTACATCTGCTACTTCTACTTCTACTACTACTGCCACTACTACTTCTTTTTTATTACTACTACTACTACTACTACTACTACTACTACTACTACTACTACTGCTACTACTACAACTGTACAACTACAACTATTTCTATTACTACAGATGAGAAAAATAAAAAAGTGAAAATAATTTCTTGAGATGTTTTAATCCTTAAAAAAGCAAATACATTTTTTAATCATCATTTACAATTGCGCACGCGAAAAAATTTTTCTACACACAGACACACACACACGCACACACACACGCACACATACACATACACACACACACGCACACATACACACACATACACACACATATATATATATATATACAATATACACCATACATACAAACGTACATACGTATATTGTACCCACATAAATACATCCTACATTCACCACACTGACTGTACATAATGATGATGATGAAAATGAGGATAATGATGATGATGATGATGAAGATGACAATGATGATGAAGATGACAATGATGATGATGACGATGATGATGATGATGATGATGGTTATGTGAATAATAGAACAATGGATGAAATTTTGATGAGAGGAAGAATGAATGACACGATGATGATGAAATTTTGATGAGAGGAAGAATGAATGATACGGTGATGATGGTATCGGTGGTTAAAATAATAATGGCTGTCCAGATGATGATGACGACGACGACGATGATGATGAGATGATGATGATAATAGAGATGATGATGATAATAGAGATGATGATGATAATAGAGATGATGATGATAATAGAGATGATGATGATAATAGAGATGATGATGATAATAGAGATGATGATGATAATAGAGATGATGATGATAATAGAGATGATGATGATGATGATGACCACAATGATGAGGATGGTATTCATAATTGTTTAAAAAAAAGAAGACATACCTCACATCAAAACCAAGTGAAGGATACATGCAGAATGAAAACAACATCAGCAACAACAACAACAACAATAATAATAATAACTTTGTCTGTTACATCAAAAACAGTACAACAACATCAATGATGACAGTGAAATCACTGACAACACTGAAAACTGCTGTAGCTTCTATGTCAACAATAACAACAACGTCAACAACAACATTTACTACTACTATTACTACAACAACAACAACGTCAACAACAACATTTACTACTACTATTACTACAACAACAACAACGTCAACAACAACATTTACTACTACTATTACTACAACAACAACAACGACAACATCAGAAACAAAACAAACGACGTCATTACCCATCACGTGACACCATACTATGAGGGTGTGTTTGTTTTTTAGTTGTCGCTGATGACTATGGCGATGATGATGATGATGATGACTGTGACGATGATGATGATGATAGCAGTGATGATGATGATAATGACAATAAAGTGATGATGATGATGATGATTATGATGATAGCAGTGATGATGATGATGACAATAAAGTGATGATGATGATGATAGCAGTGATGATGATGACGATGATGCAAACGTATACAAACCAACAAAGCATTACGTTACGACAGTACAGAAGAGCAACAAAGACCCTTAACAAGCAAAACAATACAACAAAATCAACGCGTTAGCCGCCTGGCCACTGATGACGTAATGGCCACTGGTGGCTTCTCATGCTGCTGCTGATGCCGTAGTGGTCGAGATCAAATGCTTGATTTGTAGTTTTCCAGGTGCATCCATGCATGTATGTTTAGCCGATATTTCTAAAGATAGAGCTGCAGAAAATTGACTTTTGTTCCTTAAGAAGCAATGCGAACGAGAACTAAAATACAAAGAAACGGATAGCCTAATAGGGCAACGAAAGATTGAAAAATACCACAACTCTAAAATACTCGTTAAACAAGTTCAAGTATATTCGCCCAAAACTCTTCTACAAATTAATAAAACATTTTCTAATGAAAGATGAAAAGGTGAATTTCTAATGAATGGAGCATCAATTTCTAAATTGATTTTAATCTTTCTAAAAAACGCCGAGAAATTTCAAAAAAATATTGAAAAAAAATGGCAAACCTCAACGTTACGATGAATCCGTCGAAAATGTTGAATCCATTCTTGATGTACTCCAGCGGACCGTCGGCAATGATTTTGAGGAACATTTCAACGGCAAACAAGCAGGTAAAAAATAAGTTGCTATATTCTAGAACGATCGTTAGGAAATCCGGCTGATTGGTTGGTTGGTTGGTTGATTGGTTGGGTGGTTGGTTGGCTGGTTGGTTGGTTGGTTGGCTGATTGATTGGTTGGTTGGTTGGTTTGTTGGTTGGTTGATTGGTTTCTTGGTTGGTTTGTTTGTTTGTTGGTTGGTTGGTTTGTTGGTCGGTTGGTTGGTTTGTTGGTCGGTTGGTTGGCTGATTGATTGGTTGGTTGGCTAGTTGGTTGGTTGGCTGGTTGGTTGGCTGGTCGGTTGGTCGGTTGGTTGGTTGGTTGGTTGGTTGGTTGGTTGGCTGGTTGGTTGGTTGGTTGGTTGGCTAATTGATTGGTTGGTTGGTCGGTCGGTTGGGTGGTTGTTTGGTTGGTTGGTTGATTTATTTGCTGGATGGTTAGTTGGTTGGTTGATTGATATTTTAGTTGACTGATTCACTCAAGTGTTCGACTTTTTTCGCAAGAAACTTTAAACGATCGAAACAACTACAACGACAAAAATGAACATTTGAACGATCGAAACAACTACAACGACAAAAAATAATCCGACAACAAACAGCAGCGCACTTGCTTGTGGTACTCGATACCCATACTAAGGGTGTTGATCAAAATAGCCGCAAGGACGCCGCGCTGGTAGAACGTGCTATCAACGCAGCATTTGATCTGATGGCGAATTTGACCGCAAAAAGCTAACGGGAAAATTATAATTACCACAATTACAATAATTAATAAATAATTAATAATAATTAATAGTTATATTATTAATAATAAAATATAACCATTGTCATCAACATCATCGCCATCATCATCATAACCAGCCTCTAAACACATTTTTGATCTGAACGTCATTGCCTTCGTCATCGTCATCTTCGTCGTCGTCATCATTCTCTTCATCGGTTTGAATGTCATCATCGTCGTCGTCATCATCACTGCTACTGGTAGTAGTACTGCTGCTACTGCTGCTGCTGCTGTTCAAGTTTTTTTTTATTGACGAGCTTCTTCTACTTCCGCTTCCGGTTTCTGATGCGTCAGCGTGGCAACGCGTCTGTGAAGGCTTCCGATCTTTTGTTACTGTTTTGGTGTTTTTGGTTGTCTTTTTTAAATTTAATTCCTCAGCAGCATAATCGTAGTTTCTTCGCTAATAACCATCATCGTCATCATTCTCATCATCATCGTCATCATTATCATCATCATCATCATTTTCATCATCAACATCATTATCATAATCTCGGTTGTCGTGACGACCAACATTATTAGATTTTAAAATTCTTAATTTTGATTTTTACCTGCCATCACGTATGCAGAGAAAATCTTTTGAAAAAAATTGTATTTTGCGCTAAGAAGATAAAAAAAAGACTGGAAAATCTTTTTCGTTGTTTTTGGTTTTAGTGAATTCATTAAAGGTTGTACTGTTTTTGAATGATAATTTTTGCTATTTTATAACTCTCTCATTCCTTAATTCACTTTTTTAACTCATAGATACACCTAGTCATGTATTCAATCATTTATTCATTCACTAATTTATTAATTCATTCAATTGTTCAATCATTCGTTCGTTCATCATTCCTTCGGTTGTTCAGCCGTTTAATCTTTCTCGCTAACTCGTCATTCACTCCTAAAATCCTAAACTTACTATGTCTCTCATCGCTCTCTTTTTTTACTTCATTCGTTCATTCATTCGTTCGTTCGTTTGTTTGTTAGTTTGTTCGTTCGTTTATTCATTCATTCATATATACACTCTACATCCATGACATTTTTAAAACTGTTAAAAAAACGTTTGTCAAACACCGTTCCATGAAAAGACTCGCAAAAAAGACGAATGTTTAATTAATTCCCATGAATAACTCGAAAGGAGCCAAAGAAAAAATTGCATGGAAAGCTGAATTAAGCGTGTCTTTTTCTTGTTTATTCTTTCATTTCTATGCCGAAAAAATTTATTTGTTCAATCCATCAGTACTTATTTGTTATCAATGTTGTCACAGACATACATTGTGATCGTATCATCACCACCATTATTATTATTATTATTATTATTATTATTGTTTTGATCATCATCGTCGTCATCGTCTACGTCATTTTCGTCATCATCTCATCATCGTCGTCGTCATCTTCATCATCTTTGTCATCCTCATCGTCATCATCATCGTCGTCGTCATCTTCATCGTCATCTTCTTCATCATCATCGTCGTCATCATCTTTCTCATCTTTATCATCATCAACATCGTCATCGTCAATGAAAGAAATAGTAATCTGAGTATTATTTATACGATGATGATGAGGATGATGTTACGGAAGTTCTGAAATTCACGAACGCCGTTTTGAACGTTTTGCAAATTGAATTGAAAAAGTTTTGTCTATGAAGGAAAATATCTCAATAACAAAATATGATAAAGAGTTATTTTGTTATTAAATTATGAATAAACAATGAAACAATAATAAAATAAATAAATAAACTGCTTTTTTAACAGTAAAAAAAATCTATCAATTAGCTCTCTACAATCTGATAGTCAAACTTCTCTTAAAGCAATTAGTAAACGCCAAAACCTTTTGAGAAATTTTCACACACACACAGACACACACACAGACACACACACACACACAAACATGTATATACAATTTAGTTTTTATACATAAAAAATTGTTTGAAAAAAGTTAACGATTAACAAGTGTAATTCAACGTGTTTGAGCGTTGTTTGGATGTAGATAAAATTAAATTTGAAAAACATGTCCATATTTTCTATAGCCTGTATGTGTTATTATGTGTTGTTTGTGTAAAAAAAAAGAATAAAAAAGAGAGAGAATAAGATAGAAATAGAGAGAGAGAGAGAGAGGAGAGAGAGAGAGAGAGAAAGATGAAGAGAAAATGATTTCAGTATGTTTGTAAAAAATCGCATGTTTGAATGGGTATAAACCTTTTTTTCTGTGACGTGCAAGCACAAACTTTGACGAATTTTGAAAGAAAAAAAGCTCGTTGGAACAAAATTTTGTTGTTTATTTGGCGTTTTTACTGCAAAAATTACCGTGACTGTAGTTTGCCAGGTTTATTGCATGCAAATATACCAACATACGTACACACAAACACACATGCATACATGCATACATACATAGATACATGCATACATACATACATACATACATACATACATACATACATACATACATACATACATACATACGTACGTACGTACGTACGTACATACATACATACATACATTCATACGAACATACAAACAAACATACATTTAATAGCATGGTTTCATTGCCGTTTCTTTCTTTACGATTGAGTCACTCATTAAGTTGTCAAGTAAATGTTAATAAAATGAAAAAAAACTTAAAAAACTCAATTCCTAAATTGCATTCATAAATGTGACTCGAATGATGTTTCATTATGGTAATAATACCTACAACAACCACTAATACTACTATTACCACTGCAACTATTAATACAACTATTATCACTATTACTTCTGCCACTACTACTTCTGCTATTACAACTTCTACTACTGCTGCTTCTACTACTACGACGACAACAACTACTAATAATACTACTACAGCTGCTAATACCACTACTGCTACTGCTACTGAACAAACATGCATACATAATTGATTGGAAACACCACGTCCACAGCGATGCCAGCGCTTCTGATGTCATTCTGAAGGGGCGCTAAACAAGTCATCAGATACAAATACAAAAATACAAATACAAAAATACAAATACACAAATACAAATACAAAAATACAAATACAAAAATACAAATACAAAAATACAAATACAAAAATACAAATACAAAAATACAAAAATACAAATACCAAAATACAAATACCAAAATACAAATACAAAAATAAAAATACAAAATATAAAAAATACAAAATACAAATACAAAAATCCAAATACAAAAATACAAATACAAAAATCCAAATACAAAAATACAAATACAAAAATACAAATACCAAAATACAAATACAAAACTACAAATACAAAAATACAAATACAAATAACTGATTGAAGACACACACCTTTTTTATTGAAAGTGACGACGTGCGATGTGCGCCGAGACTTTTGCCTAGCTTCCCACTCGTTGCCGTAAACCGTAGCCGACCAAGACCGCGCTTTACCATTCAAATAGCCCCCACTTAGGTCCGAATTCGTCAGTTGACCGAATTGGTTGAAGTTGCATTTTTCAGGCGGGGCACTGTTTAGTGACGAGGCCCGGCCTATTGAGGAACGTCGTCGATTTAAAGATGGAAGCTCCAGGTGGTTTTGCAGTTTCGAGTTTTGGTAGCCTGGAAGTTCGGTTGAGATTTTTTGGGGGGTTTGTGTTTTTGTTTAGTTGGCGTTAAAATTTAGAATTAAATTATAATTGAATCTAATAAAATGTGTTAAAATTAAATAATATTTCTTAACGGCTTGGTATAAAACATGTTTAGTTTTATATTTTCAAAGCAATTTTTAGGTACATAAAATATGATTGAATCGATGCTAGCGAACCTTCGATGTTATAATTATAATCACAGACAGATGAAGCCCTCAGTATACCAGTTGATGGCTTTTTAAATGTGTTAGTTCCGCAACTCGAACAATTATTATCCTTATCATTCACGGTCTGCTTCGTATGTAAACTACCTAATGAGTCTTTCGTTTGCTGTGACGCCGGAGTAGTAGCTACTGTAGTTGCGGCCGGTGTTTTTTGAAGCGCGTTTTGCTGCGACGTGCTAGATGTGCTGATGTTTTGAGTGCTTGGTCCTAAGGTTGGATCGAAAAAATGGCAATTGAGTGAATGCGTTCGCAAGATGGAGGCCCTCCTGCCGCCTATGTTCTCAGGTGGAACTGCTAAAAAATTTGACGACGTTTTGCTTGCGATTGTGGTCGGAGTTTTAGATGTTGAAGCTCTGCTGATATGATCTGATTGGGATAAGGTATTTGAAGCTGTTGATATGTTGGTGGTGAGGAGGACGTTCGACGAACTGCTCTCTTCGTTACGCGAAGTCTTTGAATCTCTGGGAGAAAGTTGAGACTGAAGTTGATTGCTGAATAAAATGACGGATGGATCGTCACATTCAGATATACTCCGCTTGTTTGCTGATGACTTTGGTTTTAAATTCAATAGCGGGTTAATTTCTTTCAAAATTTCTTTCGAGTTTAAAATTTTTCCACTCTCTGAATTTGAAGAGCTGGAGTTCGGATCGAAATTCAAGTTGGAGCCATAACTTTTTTTCTCTTTTGTTAAAAATTGCGTCATATTGATTGAATCAAGTCCTGAGTAGGAGCTTTTTTGGCCAAAGTAAATAGGAGGAACCATGAGCGTGCATGTTATTGGCTTCAAGTGATGGGGCTCGTCGCAACTCAACGACGTTCCTTGCTTGGGTACCTGAAACTTCTGCCTCGTTGTCGACTTCAAATAAGTCAAAATTCAATCTTTCATTATGATAACAGACATTTTTTCAAAATTTTGAAGCGCTTATGGTAAAAACATGTTGTTTACAGCAATAATTAATTACTAAGACAAATGTAATTTTACACTACAACACAAATCATTTTAAAATTTATAAAACTGTCATTTTAAAATAAAAAAAGCCAACCTGAGCAGAGGATGATTTTGAAAAAGACTTCCTCCTCCCTGCAGCATTCATTGTGGTAGGTGTATTCAGGGATGGGGAGAGTTCGTGAGATGTAACAGACGCACTTTCGATGTTTTGATTATTTGGGAGAGCGAGTGGAGATAGTCTGTGAGCTACAAATTTTGTATTCCGATTTGAATTTTCCGTGTTCTTTTGAACGTTTGAAGCTCGCCTCTTAGCCAGTTCTTCCTTCCACAACTTCATCGACATTCCAGCATTCCAAGAGACCGCCCTGTTAATCTGGATTTTTCCAGTTGCATTTACGTTTTTGTCCTCACTTGGAGTTTTCGAACTTTCAAAAATAGATTTTTTCCTATCTGCTGTTAACTTGATGTTTGAATTAGATTCGACCGATGACGAATCTCGATGTAAGAGAAGCAATTTTGTTGAACGAGATTTAAGTGCGGCAGACATTAAATTTTCCTTGTCTATCAGTTGTATCACGGGCAAGTAATGCCCATTATGAACGGGTCTGAAAGCACCAGACGACAGAGACTCGACGTTTAAAGAAGCCGCCCTAGCGATTGTTGACAACCTTCGTCGGTTATTCGAACCGCCGGTGCTACTACCGATCTGCGGATCCGGATGTAGATGTTTTTGTGTCGTGCTACTGTTAATTCTACTGCGACCAGTTCTGGGCGGGCTATCGAATTTTAATTTATTCGATTCGACATTCAACGACATCGCCCTACTTATCGAACCTTTGCTCCGCCTCGTTTTCAGATGCGAGTTTGAGGAGGCGGATGTTGTTTGCTCCAACTGAACGATCGGCAAAAAATTGTTTCCGCACGCCTCGCAATTGAACGAAGCCGCTTTATTAACGGACGACAACTTGCGTCTGTTCACGCTGTCAGCTGCAGACTTCACGCCGTCAACATCGCCGCCGTCGTTCGCCGATTTGACGGCCGACCTGACAATCTCGATAGGAACGAGCAGATATTTTCCTGAAAATTCGCTGCATATGGAAGAAGTTCTGCTGTCAGAAGGTGGAGATGATATGATCTTGAGGGCGGGCGCTGGCGTCGGAAGACTGACGGTACTGAACAGCGACATGACGGAAGCGTATCCGAGAGGCACTCCACCAGGCACGCCCCCTATGGGCAGGTTGGTTCGAAGGGTCGATGGAGATCTATGTGAACGGTAAATTTAAAAAATTTCTCCGTATTTCATGAAGATCTGAATAATTATTTAAATTATTTATTGTGTGTGATTTGAAACTATTTTTAAAACACAACATTATAAACACTTTTTATAAAATATACCATACTAACTTATCTTTGATGGATGGCGAGGGCAAAGAGTTTCTGCCTTTCAGTTCCTTTCTTTGATCAACTTTGCAATCATCTTCGTCTTTGTTATCATCGCTCACATTTTTATATTTTAACGAGTTTTTATTATTAAAAAAATAATAATTATTATTATTATTAACATTTTTATTTTTCCTCTTCCTCTTCTTCCTCTTCCTCTTCTTCTCATTTTTCTCACCCTCAACTCCCCCAGCGGCCAACCTTTCCATCCTTCTCTTGCACCTCATCTGATGTTGTCTTACCAGACCGGCCAGTGTTTTTTCAGAGCCAGATTTCTTTTTTGTACCCCTTAAACGCCTCTTCAGCCAGCGATTGAACCTACGTCGGGCCTTGCGAATCAGGTGTGCGATGTATTTGAGAGTTTCGTCATAGCAGCCGCCAGGCTCTGAGTTGCTGGCCAGGGTGCTGCTGCTGTGGAAGCGTTTCCTTTCCATCTGCATTCTCTCCATCTCACGCTTCTTTGTTTCTGAAAATTGCGTGGCGATTACTACTAGACAGAGGTTTATCATGAAGAATGCGCCGACCTGTTTGTGGTTGTATGTGTGTGTGCGTGTGTGTGTGTGTGTGTGTGTTTGTTGTGTTTGTGTGTGTGCGTATGTGTGCCTGTGTGTGTATTTGTTGTGGTTGTGTGTATGTTTTTTGTGTGTTTGTTGTGTTTGTGTGTGTGCGTATGTGTGCCTGTGTGTGTGTATTGTATGTAGTAAATTTTTTGTTTTTTGTGTGCGCGTTTGTGGTAACAGTAATATTAGCATTAGTAGTAGCATTATATTATCTTAGATGCAGCAGTAGTTGTAGTAGCAGCAAAAGCAGCTGCAGCAACTACAACAACAACAACAGTAGTAATACTTTTGTAGTAGGCGCAGTGTTGTAGTAGCAGCACTAGTATTAGTAGTAATTAGTATTTTCAATCTAATCGTCCGCTTAAAACACAAAATATATTCATTCAATTTATTCGTAATTATCCTCCCCGCATCTATTGATATCCAACTTAAAGATAGATCGGTGAAGAAAATAAAGCGGGGAGTGCTATCTATGGCTAGCCGATGTTGTTATTGCTAGTAATATTATTAATAATATAATTATTACTATAATTATGATTATTATAATTATGATTATTATAATTATTATAATAATAATAATAATTATTATTATTATTATTCAAGTTGTTGCTTGTTTTTTTGTTGATGTTGTTGAAGTTGGTTTTAGAGTTTTTTTTTTTTTTTTTGTTTTATCACTGCACTTCATACCATCGCTGACGTCATATCTCTGAATAATAATAATAATAAGAAAATTAATAAAATAATAATACTAACAAGAGTAATTATGCGAATAAAAACGATTATTGACCAGAACCCATTTTGTTATGCTTGCTTATACCCTTTTGTTATTATTATTTGCTTATCACCGTCTAATTCAGAGTAATTAGTACCGTAAAAATGACAAGCGAAACCCATTCGTTATAATTATCCGAGGTTGTTTTTTGGGTCTTTCAGTGAAAAGTAGTAGTGGTGGTAGTGCAGCTACGTGTAGTAATTATTGTTAAGTAGTAGTAGTAGTAGTAGTAGTAGTAGTAGTAGTAGTAGTAGTAGTAGTAGTAGTAGTAGTAGTAGTAGTGGTAGTGGTGGTGGTAACACTATCGGCTGCAGTATTGTGGCATTAGTGGTAGCTGTGGTAGTATCGGTGTAGTAGTATAAGTATTTGTGTATTAGTAGCAGAAGTAGTAAAAATGGTAGTAGTAGTAGAGTAGTAGTTGTTGTTGTTGTTGTAGTAGTAATGGTAGTAGCAGTAGTAGTAGTAGTAGTAGTAGTAGTAGTAGTAGTAGTAGTAGTACTTATAATTAATCTAGTTTTTCCACGCCAAGATATTTAGCATTCGCAATAAAAATATCTAAGTTACTATTCCAAAAAATATCAAAAATAAATTTTTGCTTTCAGTATTTTTCAATTTAAAAAGTTTAAACCTAAATAATTATATCTAGAAAAATATATCTTATTTCTTCACGGCAAAAATCTCCAATCTAACTTTAACACGGCAAACTTTATTGGATTATGTAGGAGAAACCGTATAGGAAAACTTAAACATACACACCCACACACAAACAAACATAAACAAACTTTTTTACACACACAAACATACACACACACAAACATAAACACACAAACCTACTTACAAACACACAAAATACCGTATAATTTCGTTCAAAATGAAAATAACCAAAAAACCTGAATAGCACTTCCGACATAAACACAGATTAAGCATAAAATTTGTACGTAATCACGAGAATTCAAATGCAGAAAATATAGGGTATAAACAAAATAAAATGCAACATACATACATACATACATACATACATACATACATACATACATACATACATACATACATACATACATACATAGACACACATACATACATACATACATACATACATACATACATACATACATTTATACACGCAGACATATATCATATACTTATGTATTTGTATCTTCTCGTCACGTAATTAATAAACATACTCAAAATCCTCATAAAATGACGATGTATCTTTTCGGTATATCTTTCATTTTTCTGAAGTTTCTTTGTCTATTTGTATTTTTTTTATGTATCTTTGTGTATATTTGTCTTTTTGTATATCGTTGTTTATTTATGTATATCTTTGTAATCTTTGTGTATCTTGCCTTTTTGTACATTATTGTTTATCTTTGTATATATTTTTGTTTACATTTTTTGTATTTTTTTAAGTTTTTTGTATTTCCTGGTTTTGTATTTTTTGGCTTTTTTGAGAAACGACCACGGAGATTATAGCTTCAAGATTGTTCCATATTTCATCAAGTCTTTCGTGAAAATGATAGATAGATGAATGAATGAATGAACGAACGAACGAATGAATGAGTGAATGAACGAACGAATGAATGAATGAGTTAGTGAAGTGAGTGAGTGAGTGAGTGAGTGAGTGAGTGAGTGAGTGAGTGAGTGAGTGAGTGAGTGAGTGAGTGAGTGAGTGAGTGAGTGAGTGAGTGAGTGAGTGAGTGAGTGAGTGAGTGAGTGAGTGAGTGAACGAACGAACGAACGAACGAACAAATGAATGGATGAATAAACGAAATACCAAACGATTGAATGAATGAATGAATGAGTGAATGAATAAATGAATAAAAAATAATTAAAAGAACGGAAAAATGAAGGAATGAATGGCAGAATGGAGGGATAATTAAAAAGTGGATGAATGAAATACTGAATGAGAAAAAACGTGTCATATCATCCTCTTGCACTATTCTTAAGTGCATCAAATTGTCGAGATAGTCGTTATTATTAATGATGATGATGGCCTCTACAATGATTACGTCATCGCCTTATGACGTCATTATTATAATGGATGGGTGAATGAGTGAGTGAGTGAGATTGTGAATGAGCGAATAAACGAACGAACGAACGAAAGGATTAATTAATGGATGAATGAATTAAAGATGGATGGGTGCATGGATCTTTATTACCATCATCATCATCGTTATTGTTATTAACATCGCTTAAGATCATTTTTTCTGAATGAATAAATGAGTGAGTAAGTAACCGAAGAAATGAACGAACGATTTAATGATTAAAAAATGAATGAATGAATGAATGAATGAATGATTAAATGAATGAATGAATGAATGAATGAATGATGAGGGGGAAAAGAATAATCACTCTATCATTTTTATTACCATCGTCGGTGTAATTTTCATTATCACCTCAAGTCAAAATTATAATGAATCAATGAAGATGTTGATGAATGAGCGAATGAACGAATGAATGGATGGATGGATAGATAGATGAATAGATGGATGGATGAACAGATAGATAGATGGATGAACTATTACAATCATCATTATCATCATTGAATTCATCATCATTAGGACTAACGATGATGAGTATGACGAAATATATCCAATCCCAGAAGGAGTGCGCATCTTGGATGAAGTACATTATGTTAACCCAGCCAGCCAGACTTATAATCTGTATGTTTGTATTTATGTATGTTTGTATTTATGTATGTTTGTATTTATGTATGTTTTGGTAACAGACTGTTGTTAACGCAATGTTTCAAAAATTCAACACTACTTTCAACATTGTTCAACTAATTTAGATTCACTTAATAATTCATTGGCTAGTTGTTGATTTACTTTCACATTTTCTAATTGTTCTTGTTTCCAAATTTAAAAATTTTAACATTGTTCAACACAAAGTTGAACAACTTTAGAATTACAATTGTTCGATCAGGTAAAATTACAATTAAATTACAAGGTAAAATTACAAATATTGTAAAATTACAATTGTTCAACTTTGTGTTTAACAATGTTCAACGCAATGTTGAAAGTAGTGTTGAATTTTTGAAAAAAATTTATGTATGTATGTAAGTATGTATGTATGTATCGTAATTATATAAACATAGAAGTCTACAATACTATTAATAAGAGTATGCATCTATGTATGGTGTGTGTGTGTGTATGTATGTATGTGTGTTTGTTCGTTTGTGTGTTTGTTTGTGTGTTTGGATGCGTGTGAATTTGTATTAAAACCAATTGAGCCATGCATGTTAGAATGTTTGTATATAATGTAATTTATGTACGTATGCAAACAGTAGGTATTTATTTTGTATTTCGGGTATTAACTTATTGTATTTGTGATTAACGAATGACGTCATCGTTGATGGCAGAGAAGTTATTTACAGCTTATTTTCAAGCGCCAAGCTTAACAATGATGTAAGAATATTGCCCGCGAAAAAGACTTAGAAGTTATAAATATTAAATCGTCGTTTGTATGTTTGTTTGTATGTTTGTTTGTTTGCATGTGTGTTCGTAAGTGTGTTAGTATATGTGTATATATGTGAGTTTGCATGTTTGTTTGTAGGTTTGTTTGACCTGATGTTCATATTTTTATTACG